CACTCATTACAGGAATTTAGAAAATCTAAATAAGGGACCAGGAAAAAGAATAACTATAAGAAAGAAAAAAATCAAAATCAACAAACAACTATGAACCAGAGACACACTTTGGGGGGGGCGGGAAGGAGGGGTTGGGGTCATAATCAGGGGGTTGCAATTGTATGGGGAATATAAAGATAAAAAAAAAATATGGAAGGGGCCAAGAGCAGGTATGTCTCAGAGCATTCAACACTCACAAACATCTTAATGCATCCGAGAAATGCCCCCCTTTTTTTTTGTGGAGCCATAGAAAAGGCCTCTCATGTCAGAACCTTCTAGAATCACCTTGTCTTCTACAGGTTCCATTTTGATAAACCTTCTCTTGAAGCAGCCTTTGATCCCAGGATCATCCTTAGGTCTGTGCCACCTCCTGAGCAGTTGTTCTGAGGCTCCTCCCAGCACCCTCTTGCAGCCACCGGGATTTGGCACGTAAGCATAAGACTCCTTAAAAAGTGTGTTTAATATGTTTCCAGGAAGCAAGTCTCTTCCTGGCCCTGGTCAGCCTGGGGTGAGGAGGGGGGTGGGGGTCTGTTGGCTGGGCAGGGAAACTAGAGAATTTGGCAGGCAAGTTGTTTGGGGTTTGTCACTTTATCTCCATCTCATACTTGTGTGTTTTCTTTCTCATTTGCTAGTATCTTGTCTGGGATTTCAGGAGTGAGGATCACAGGTTCTCGAGATGGATCATTTTCCCTCTCAGCCCTGAGAGAAGCACAGAACCTAGCACTCACTGGACTGAATCTGGTTGCCAGGAATGAAGGCTCATGTGATGAAGACCTAGCAAAGGGAGGCAAAAGGGCCTTCCCACTCTGCCACCTTCCTGGAGCTGTGCATCTCCTCCCCTTGGTACAGTTCTTTATCGGCTTATACTGCCAGGCTCTACAGGATTTGGCAGCAGTCAAGAGAAGCGGAGCACCTGGGGACTCACCGACACATTCCTCCTGCATGAGCTCTGGGGTAGAGGCCAGCCCGGAGGACTCACTTTGCAACCTAGAAGGCTTCTCTGTGGCTTCACTTAGTGTTCTTCAGCACCTGGTGTGCCACAGCGGAGCAGTTGTTTGCCTGTTACTGTCTGGAATGGGGGAAGATTCTGTTGCCAGAGAAGGAAGCCAAAGTCTGGTTCACAGACATGGTCATGGGGATGTCACTTCAGCCCCAATGGGGCTTGCCAATGACCAAGACCAGCATCCACTATTGAAGATGCTTCTTCACCTGTTGACTTTCTCTTCTGCGGCAACAGGTCACCTTCAAGCCAGTGTCCTCAGCCAGTGCCTTAAGGTTTTGGTGAAACTAGCTGAAAACGCTTCCTTTGATTTCTTGCCCAGGTATAATGCTGCATGGGAATCATGATTCTTTGTGAATATTCTCTGACCTCCTGAGTTCTATCCCGTGAGCTTTGTGCTTTGCTTATATCTTAACCTCACCTGCACTGCTCAGTTCTAAGCTTTGGTTGAGGTTCAAAGACTTTGTACAGCAAATTCTGAAGTGATAGGAAGTGGGACCAGGTACTGGGAGAACGAAGGAAATGGTTTATTTCATTTAATTCCGCCTCTGAACAACAGGTAAGTAAAAGATGTCCATGATAAAAGAAGGCTGTTAGCCACTACCTGCCCTCAGGACAAAGGCTGGAACCAAGAGGCCTTTGAATCTGGTACATGGGTCTGTTGAAGACCACATAAGACAGCCACAAATTTGGCAGGGTTCCCCCAGGAAGCAATGAGTGTGGGGCGGGACTGCAGCCCACAAGGTGACCCTGCTGGGAGTCTACCCATTATCATTGTGCCCATCTCTGGCATGAGCCACAACTTGCTTGATTCTCTTAAGGTTTATTAGAAATGGTAGGTTTCTTTGAGGGCATAGTATACTGAACACTATTATAAATTTCCGATTTGAAATTCCAGACCTCAAAACTAGAACTGTCAGTTACCCTCAAACCTATCCCCTCATGTAGTGATTCGATCTTCTCAGCACTCACCCGAGTCCAGTGTCTATGTTGGAATGACTTCTGTGATTGCACATATCTTAAGTATTCTTGTCTCTGGGCTCAGCATACCTGTTTTCCAAAAACACCTTTGGATCTTGGTTTCCATCTGAATATATATTGGCTGGTGAGATCCATCCTAAAGGTGGTGCCTAGAGCTGGCCAGGGTATATACTATAGTATGAGGCAACATGAACACAGAACCACCACCCAGGTGGCTGGAAGTGTCCCAGCTCATAGTTGCTGGCTCCTTATTTCATGTTTGTTCTATTAATTTCTAAAGACATATTTTTTAGATCTTTTGGTAGATACACCACTGTTCCAATACTATTGAGTTGTCCACAAGGACATCAATAAACAGCCATTTTATGGATACTTGCTATAGGCCAGACACATGCCTTCTGTTCACTAGTCATGTGTCACCCTCCGAGCCCTATATCCTCACACTTAGCACAGAGCCTGGCTCACTGGAAGCACTCAGTGTTTGTGGAGCAAATGAACTCTGTGTTGAGGTAAGGAAATTTATTGGAATCCCGGAGCATGCTGGGTGGGTTTCAAGGCCCTTAGTCTCCTAAGCCATTGTTCTCGACCACTGTTTAAAACCATCTCCTACTCAATCCACTCAATGCTCTCTTTAGAATCCCTTCCTGCTTGCAGTTGAACTGCTACCACACAGCTTCCAGATCACCTTGGGGTGAAAGCTAGGAATGAGTGTTACCAAAGCTCTAAAGCAGTCTGCAGTGCATTTGGGAACCCTGCAAAAAGAAGGTTCTGATGCTATCAAATAATCTGGAAACCACTGTCTTGTATATTACTGATGGAATTTTCTTACAGATAGTTTCAGGAGCTTTAATGGACCAGTTAGGGGCCACATGGGTAACACCCAGGTTAAATTACAGTTTCCCACAAAGTTCCAAATTCCCTAGTGACTGAAGAATATTCAGCTTGTTTGCTGTATAGGATTAGCTCTAAAATGAGTTTACCCCAAATAATGAGCCCTCGCTTCATAATGATATACTGAGAAACATTCTTAACCCTTGATGCAATGTGCTTAGATGCTGCAGATGCATGACGGAGTACGCATGTTGGATTGCCCCTCTCCCCGCACAGCCCAGCAGGAGCTGACAGTGCAGATTAGGAAAGGTGCTGCCCAACTGAGCAAGTTGTTAGGGACCAAGAGCCCGACACCTGATCTCAGTCTGCACGTGCCCTGGCAGGTGGTCAGAGCAATCACAGTGATGCTGCACACAGTGGTTGACTGGAGGACAGGGGGACACCCACTGCCCCCCCACACCCCTGACCAGGACTGACCCGCAGAAGCAGATAGTGCGGTTTCTGGTTGTCTTGGGATTTGGTTCCTTAGGACCAGAGCCCCTCACCCATGCACACAGTGTGTACTTACACTCGGCAGCAGAGGAGCTGGTGTTTATTAGCAAGTAGAGAAAAGCCTTGCTTTGCAAGTGGTCCGAAGACCCAGCCAAAGCCACATCCATGTTTATCCTTTAGTGAAGGGCCAGGATATTACTCTCACATGCAAGTTAAAACTCACCTCCCTATTTGGAAGCAGAGGCAGTAAAGCATCCCTCATTCACTGGATGGCATCATACCGGGTAAGGGCCTATCATCTCAAAGCCACAGCAGTCCCGCAGTGAAGAACAGGATCCACTCGTGCATATGAAGGGAGTGTCACAGCAAGGTGTTGGTCAGCCAGCAATTGAACCCAGATCTGTCTGAACCACATCTGTAGTGACCTGCTCAAAGTTTTCATTAACTCTAGTGAAAAGTAAGGATGAATTATTGAATTGGGTTGGGAGTGTCATGTCTCTGGGCCCCTCATGTTTTAGGTTCCAGTGCATGTTCCGGGTGCTGCCACAGTGTCTCAGCCCAGAGACACCCCTGCCTAGTGTGTTGCTGGCTGTTGAGCTGCTGTCCCTCCTGGCAGACCATGAGAAGCTTGTGCCACAGCTCTGTTCCCACTCTGGTAAGGCGGGGTAGACGGCATCCCTGCATGGGGGAGGGAAGGGTGGTGGCAGAGACGGGTCAGGGAGATGTCCTCTAAAGGTTTCTGCAGCTTGTACGCGGGCTCTGGGTTAGAAGCAGGTGTCTGAATGAGAGGTGGCATATCCTTTTCAGAAGGCTGCCTCCTCCTGCTGCTGTACATGTACATCACATCAAGGCCTGACAAAGCTGCTTTGGAAGCACAGTGGCTTCAGCTGGAACAAGAGGTAAACACTCCAGAGACCCTCTGGGGTCTGCTCGCCACCCCTCCATAAGCCCAAAGAACGTCTTTTCCTCCTTTCTCTGGGAAGAAAAGAAGCTTTAATTCATTTTGGTAACAAGCACTTAGCAGCTTGTAAAATAAGCTCAATTTAGGGCTCCACATTACAGATACAATATAGGAGGACCCCAGGCTTCCTGGACTTGGCAGTTACCCAAGAGCCGATCCTGCCCTGGCTTCAGGGCCTAGAGGCAGGTGGGTCCCAAGGCTGGCCTGGGAAAGTCCCACAGCACCATTTCTTGAACCCCAATTGTGCAGACAGTTGCTGAGGCAACTGATGCTCTTACAGAAGCCTGATAACACATTCTCTGTGATCACATCTCATTCTTCTAGAGGCGAGCAGAGTCTCTTCTTGTTCTAGGCTGTGTGGCTCCTGGCTAAGCTCAGTGTACAGAGCTCCTCCTCACCAGTCACTGGCTCCGACTGTCAGTGCAATGTGGAGGTGAGTGTCCAAGGGTGGGCAGGGCCAACAGTGTGGCAGCTCTGTGCAAGGATCCCATGCTCATTCTAACTGTGGGGCTACCATGCAGCACTCTCCTCACCTGAGTGACTAGCAGAGGTGCTGCCCAACTGGCCAAGTTGTTAGGGAACAGAAAGCAGAGACCTGACCTCAGTCTGCACCCTCCCTGCAGGTGGTCAGAGCACTCACAGTGATGCTGCACAGACAGTGGCTGACAGTGCGGAGGGCAGGGGGACCCCCCAGGACTGACCAGCAGAAGCGGACTGTGCGGTGTCTGCGGGACACAGTGCTATTGCTGCACAGCCTGTCCCAGAAGGACAAGCTCTTCACTGTGCACTGCGTGGAGGTCCTACATCAGTATGACCAGGTGATGCCAGGGGTCAGCATGCTGATTCGAGGGCTTCCTGACGTGACAGACTGTGAAGGTAAGCATGTCCCCGGCCCACATGGGGGGTTTTGTCCATGAACTTCATAGACAAGTCAAACTTCTTGAACTTCTTGGCCTTATGCCAGCAGTCTCCCATCCACCACAGCCTTTGCCTGCAGAAACCTGCCTGTCTGATTGCCTTTGTATCACTTTGCTTGCAAGTAGCTGAGGGAGCAAAGCCTGGGCTGGATGGGACTGGTTAGTTCCTGTGGGAGGAGAGGTGGGACCTCCCCCAGTTCCCAGCACCTTAGGGTCTTCACCAAAGAACCCTCTTCTGTTTGCTCAGAGGCAGCTCTGGATGACCTCTGTGCTGCTGAGACGGATGTGGATGACTCCGAGATGGACTGTGGCTGAGCCACATGGTGGCACCAGCACCACTACTTTCCTCACCTTATCAACTGATTAAAAGCCCTGGGGCTTGTGTTTCCTGAGTCTGATCTGCCTTGGCTGAGTGGGAGGGATGGAGCAGGACCAGAACCCAGGGGAAGGCTGGACTCCTTCCTGTTCCTGAGTAGACCAGAGACCTAATCCCCATGGTAACAAATCTGCCTCCAGGAAGGAGCCCTGCCCTGCCTGGAATTGTCCTGAGTCATCCCTTTGGGCTGAGGCCATGGGAAGAAACCATGTGAGGCAAGAAAGGAGGTGGCCCTAAGTCTAGGCCTAAAACCCGGAGGCCTGGGAAGATTTGGGCACACAGTGGGCCTGGCAAGGGCTGGAATGCTGTCCTTCCCCGATAGTTTAGGCACTGCTGCTCCTGTCCTCCACACTTGCTCTCTCACTGGTTTGAGGGCCCTGGGTACATTGTTTCAGCCAGCAGGCCCACAGCTGTGGATCTGAGAAGACTCCAGGGATAGGGGTAGTGTGCTGGGGAGGGAAGGGTGTTGGCTAGAGGAACAGACCGGGCCGGCTGACTAGCAGGGCGGGCCTTGATGACGCCATCTGTGGGCGGGCTCAAGCTGAGTTTCACTTCCCGCCACTGCTGCCAGCAGCCGGAACCAGCCAGAACGTGGGCCCAGAGTCTGCTGCTGCCTGCTAATTGGTAAGTAAGGACCCCCAAGAGGATGGGACAAGACTGGATGGCATGGATAGTCTCCCCCCACCCCCAGACTAGGTGGTGCTGGGGAAGGAGCCAAACTCTCCCTTAGTTGAGTGTACTGGTCCCACTAAGGAAACCACCCCACTCTCTCTGGCTTTCTGCACTGAATCTGGGTCCTGGCGCTCACCGTGTCTGCTTACACAGGGACGGTCAGAGAGATGCTCCTGCCCACCCCACCTGCCTTAGATCTTTCCATTCAGACACTCACACCTACTCTGCACCCCATGCTCCTCCCCAGGTTCAGCGGCAGGTACCTGCCTCACCATGGGCTCCCAGACCCTACCCTCAGGTCCCATGCAGACCCTCATCTTCCTGGACCTGGAGGCCACTGGCCTACCCTTTTCCCAGCCAAGAGTCACGGAGCTGTGCCTGCTGGCTATTCACAGATGTGCCTTGGAGAGCCCTCCTACCCGTCAGGGGCCACCTCCCACTGTGCCCCTGCCACCCCGTGTGGTGGACAAGCTCTCCCTGTGTGTGGCTCCAGGGAAGGCCTGTAGCCCTGCGGCCAGCGAGATCACAGGACTGAGCACAGCTATGCTAGCAGCACACGGGCGTCAACACTTCAATGCTGACCTGGCCAACATGCTCCAAGCCTTCCTGCAGCGCCAACCACAGCCCTGGTGCCTGGTGGCACACAATGGTAACCGCTATGACTTCCCCCTACTCCAAGCGGAGCTGGCTTTTCTGGGCCTTACCAGCGCTCTGGATGGTGCCTTCTGTGTGGACAGCATTGCCGCCCTGAAGGCCCTGGAGAAGGCTGGCAGCCCCTCAGAGCACGGCGAAAGGAAGAGCTACAGCCTAAGCAGCATCTATACACGCCTGTATGGGCAGGCCCCACCAGACTCACACACGGCCGAGGGTGATGTACTAGCTCTGCTCAGCATCTGTCAGTGGAGGCCACAGGCCCTGCTGAAGTGGGTGGATGCTCATGCCAAGCCCTTCAGCACCGTGCAGCCCATGTATGGGGTGCTAGCCTCAGCCAAAACCATCCCAAGGCAATATGCTGCTGTAACCTCTGCACCCCTGACCACAGCCAGGGACTCCAGTCCCAGTTCTGGCAACAGCAGGAGGCCCAATGCCTTTCCTCCAAAGGAGGGCCCTGGACCCCCACCTAGGGAGAGTCTGCTGGCCCCACTGAGCCTGCTGGCCTTTCTGACCTTGGCACTAGCTACGCTGTATGGATTGTTCCTGGCCACACCTGAGTAGCAGGTCAAGAAGGAAAGTCTGACTAATAAAGACCCCTCATAGCATTATTATCACAGCGTACTTGCCTCCTACTTTTTTCGGCAACCTTGGAGCTTCCTGGTCCTCTACCCACACTCAGGGACCTGGGGAGGGGAGGGTGGTACAGTGTTTGTCCCTCATCCTTCCTGGCAGGTTGTTCAGACTTCTGGCCCCAATAAAAGTAGGAAAAACACAGGCATCCAATGGGTGGAAGTGGTACCTAGCTTAACACTCAGCCCCAGCAGTCAAGGTTATAAAGAGGAGGAGCAGCAATTGCAAATGTTTGCATTTATTATAAACAAGGGTGTTTATAAACACTAGACTCTCGGAACATATCAACAGATACAAAGCTAAGACCGATCTAGTGAGAACAGAGGGGCAGGGAACACCGAGGTATTCGAGTCTGGGCCAGAGCAGCCACCTAGAGGCCCCTCCACCTTTGGTCACGATGATCCCTTGGCCCAGTGTCCTGCTGCTAGGATGAACGAGACTGGGGGACAGGAGCTGGATACAGTGTGAGGCTGGTGTTGGTGGAAAACGGACTATCAGAAGTCAGACAGTCCCTCTTCTGTGGGCCAGTCTCCATCCAGGACCTAGGGATTTCAGTCCCTCAGCATATCACACATATTTTGAAACAGAAGACAATAAAAATGTTTGGCTAAGAGTGAAACACAATACTGCAGGGAGGACACCTGAGTGTAGGTGGACAGGAGCCCCTGCCCGCCCTGTGATGGAACTGGGGCCAGCCAGGGCAGCCAGAACCATGAGTGAATGTGGCCCTCCAGGGGGTCCCATGGAGGATGCAGGACAGTCCAAGCAGACAGCTATCAGGGGTAGACAGGACTCTGCCTAAGGTTCTGATACCAGGAAGCCCCATCCTCCGCAGGGCATGGCACAAGCCCCAGGAGCTATGGGGTCATCTGCTGAAGGATGGAAACTCGACTTAACCAGAATCCAAGCCTCACCCATTTGGCTGCATCATGGCCCTGGTTCTTTGAAGGGTACCCCTGGGAACAAGCCATGGCCTAGAGCAATGGCTGAAACCAGAACAGGTGCATCTTGACACAAAAAGTTATGCTAGTCTAGTGTGACAAAGTCCCACCTGGTCTTCCTGGGGTGGTCTGGAAGAGAGCTCCCATGCAACTTGAATTTTGCAAGAGATTTCAGGAAGCATAATTTCAAGGGAGGAAGAGAACAAAGAATGGTTCTAGCAACTCCAGCAAGGATTGTTCACCTCATCAGCATCACAAAAAGCCTCTGTACACACAAGACACACACCATGCACGGGGAGAAAATAACCGTGCCAGCATACCCATTCACGCACACATCACGTGGCAGTTAGAGATGCAGGAGTTTGTTCAGGGGACTGCCTTCGGCGGGTCCATGTAGGCAGGGTTGTAAGGAGGCTGGCTGACAGGGTAGGGCATGGCTGCACCTCCTGAAAATATAGAGGACACTGGTTGGCGATAGCCACAGGTTGCACTGTGCAGGACAGAGGTGGGAGCTTCAGTGGGTAAGGTGGTCAGTCAGCAGTGGTACTTACCAGCCAATGTCTCATGGTAAGCCGGTGGGCCCATGGGCTGAGCAGGGTAGGGTGGTGGGTACTGCGTTGGATAAGGTGCTGCTGGCATCCCTGGCTGGGGGGGCATGGGATGGTAGCCCTGGTATGTAGGCCCAGGATAGCTGGGTGGCACATTTGGAGGCTGCGGGTAAGGGGTATGCACCACGGTGGTGGTCGTAGTGGTGTTCACAACCGCTGTAAAAGGAATTCCAGTCAGGACCTTTAGGCTTGCTGCCCCTCCCGCCAGGGAGAAATCAGGGCCCAGGGCAGCTCCCCCTCCCATCCAGGGGGTGGGGTGGCATGCTTACGACGTGGTCGGCGGCACATCTTGTACAAACAGCAGCAGGAGCAGGTGAAGCAGATGATGATGGTGACAACAGAGAGCACAAAGATGGTCAGGCCGATGGCTACAGTTGCCCCAAACCTGCCAAAGAGCCAGTTATGACCTAGGGCCTCTCACCCCTCTCATTCCACATCCGGCCCATTCGCAGGGGGCCACCCTCTTGATAAAGGAGACTGTGGACAATACAGATAGAGCAATTTCCGGGCTGTTTGGCTGTTTCTGCCTCAGTTTTTCTGACTGTAAAAGGGTAGGGGGAGGGAGAGCTAGTGAGATGATTCAAAGCACCTCACCTGGGTTCTGCCTTATTTGCCCCAACGTCAGGAGCCAGGGAGAGGGTTCTTCAGAACCTCCCCCTAACTCCATATATATGTCTTGCCCACCCGTAACAGATCAGCAGATGGCCATTAAGCACATGCCACAAGCCAGACACTGGTGTGAGCCAAACTCCGTGGTGAGGGAGACAGACACAGACCAGTGTTGAAGGTAAGGTGACTCAGAAATTTTCCTGGGAAAATTTCCAGGAAAGTGGAGGCAGGTGTGGCCAGAACAGCAAGGCGAGAGGAAAGGCACCAGGTGAGCACAGCCTCCATGCTGGCTGGCTCATAGTCCCAGCACAGGGCTGCTGGCCCCTTGGGGTGACCATGAGCCTTCCAGACCCCAAGCACTATACAAGGTGTTCACAACCATCCTTGGGCAAGCTAAGAGCCACAGAGATGACATGGAGGGGCTGGAGGTGGTTCTGCTTCCTGGAAAAGGGGAACTTCCTGCCAGACCCAAGCCCCACGAAAGAGGGGAGAGCCTACCTACGCTTTGAGAAGGCAGGCCCTGGGATGGGAAGTTCACCAGAACTGACTTTCAAAGACAGAGCCCCTTGCTAACCTACCCTCTTCCAGAGGCCAAGTTCTAGTCAAGTAAGGAAATGCTCGGTAAACTACACCAAGCACATGCGCTTGCTTAGCTGTAAGGCATCCACTCCCCTGAAACTCAGGGGAGGCTGTGGGGCCCACTCTTCCCTGCCTTGGGGCAAGGGACTTCTACCTCAAAGCCCAGAGGAAGGACAGCAGCACCACCTCAGGGGAGCTTACTGTCACAGCATAGAACAAGTTAAGGTCAGGCCCTTCACACTCCAGACTCAAAGCACACAACCTCATTTGCAAAATAGGGCCCCCCCCTCCCCAGACCTTAAACCACAGCTCCTCCCAGACCCTCTGCTGACCCAGGGAATGGAACACACACACACACACACATACACACACACACACACACACACAAAACTGGAGATTGCAGGGCCATCATCATATTCTCTCTCCCTCTCTCTCTCACACACGCGTGCACACACACACACAAACACACACACACATCCAACATCATGGTGTGGCACCCAAGCTCACCCCATATTAGCCTCTGCCTTCACTCAGATGCCTCCTGCAACCCCAACTTCCCCTTTTTTAGTTTCAATCTTCTCCCCTTTCAGGGAAAAGGAAAGCAAATCTCATCGGCCCTTCCCAGACCCTTCTCTAGCCCGCCCCATCTCTGACGTCAGTGGCAGGAAGAGCAGACACATGAGGCCCTCTTAAAGACACAGTGCGGCCCAGGGGCCCCAGCTGCACTCACAGCCCAGAGGGAGTCACGAGGTATAGAGGGGAGACCCAGGCCTGTCTTCCAGAGCTGCCTCCTAGCCTCAGCTGCCCAGGCCTGGCCTCTCATCACGGCCAGTACACCCCACCATCCTCGATGTTATAGTTAACGAAAAGAGAGGCAAGGACTGATTGCACCAAATAGTGAATGTACAATAAAGCAAACTTTAATCTTTAATTAAAAGTATAAATGAACGAAAATTCCCTGTGTGGTCTGAGGACGCTCATTCTTTTTTCCTTTGCTCCAGTCACATCACCCTCCCTTCCAGCTTTTGAAAGCACCGTGCTGTGTCCTACCTCAGGGCCTTTGCACTTGCAGTTTCCACTGTCTGATCTGCCCTCCATTTCCTCCCAGCCCCATCCCCACATAATTCATTCCTATTCACCCTCAGACCTCAGCTCTAAACATCATTTCCTCAGGGACACCTTCCCTGACCATGCAGATGAGGTTAGGTTCCTTGAGAAAAGCTCTTCCAGAATCAAATTCCTGTCTTCCTTAGTTTACAAACACAAACTCCTTTGTATGAGCATATGATAAATGTGCATCTTGCCTCCAGTCTGTAGATTCAGGGAGGCACAGGCTGCACTTGCTAAAGATACAGGCCACCATTGTATCTCCAGCACCGGCGGATGTTCAATAAATATTCGATGGGTGAATATGTTCATTCGGGGCCCCATGGTCAGCACCTAGCAGTGCAGCCAAGCAGGATGCTCTAAGGAAGTGCACTATTTGAGAGATGGTTATAGGGTGGTAGGTCATGGTATTAAAGGAACCATACTGCTGGGGGTTGGAATGGGATTCCCAAGGTTGGGGCTACCTCCCAAATCAAGAAATGCAAAGCCTAAGTTCAGAAGGCAAGGTCAGCACAGGCAGGAGGGGACAGAAGGCCAGGGGAGCAAAAGCGCAGACAGGGAGCTTGTGGCAGAGCCCAACTGGTCGGCCCCCAGCAGGCCAAAGACTCCAAGTTGAGACCGTGAAAGGGCTGCATCTGGAGGACTGTCTCTCACATCATGCTGGCAAAGCAGCGGACTGGCCATGACACAGTGGGTCACAGTTGCAGGAAGGACACTGTAGGACTGGGAGCCAGCAGAGGTTTGCCAGAACCTCCTTGCCTTTTCCCTGTACTGTCATGGCAGAATCAGGACACAGGGTCAGCAGAGGCCTGCCTGAGGCCAGAACCAGAGGTTCCTCTACTCAGGTGCTTAAAATCACACCAGTTATGCCCAATCATCCTTTGAGTGGCCAGGAGCTAGGAAGAGACAAGGATCCCAAAGAAGAGACTAAGCCAAGAATGGACACTAGGCCAGGCAGAGACCATTCAACAGCACAGGAGGGGACTCACCTGTCAAAATCAGGGAAGAGTGAGGGTGGGGAAGCAGACCCGGGCCAGCTCCCCCAGGAGCTAACATGGCCACACTGTGCCCACACAGAGGGGGATACCGCCCATCCAGGCTGTGATGGGCAGATGTGGGCTTTTCCAGATCCCTGGGCTCTGACCTGGTACCTCGTTCTTAGGAAACCCAAAGAGTTTCCCAGAGGAGAAGTCAAGGGCAAGAGTCCGAGAATGAAAAACAAGGAAGAGGGAGTTGGTAGTGGGGGAGAGGGGCAGAGCTGGCACAGGCCACCATACCAGCACATGGAGTCCCCTGTTGGGGATCCCTCAGAGCTCTCACCCCACCAAAGAGCCAACTTTGCAGTGAACAAATCACTGTACTCTTGGCCAAGGGGGCAGCACATGGAGGCCCACCCAAGAGGACATCTTCTCAGGGCCTGGGCAGGTCCTGAACCCCAGGGCATTCAATGAAGTGTCACTGACATTTGGGTCCTGCTATCCTCCCAGCACCTGCTTCTTGAGTCCCAAACTTTTCTAAGACAGGGCCTATGTGAGATTCTGAGGCTTTTCCCAGGAAGCAGGGGGAGAGATGGGGCAGGAAGCGGTGGGGGATCTGGGGGGCAGGGCCGAAGCAGCACACCCACTATGCACAGTTATGGCTATGATCACCCAGACTGTGTTCTGGGTGCACACCTCTGGGAGGGACATGTGCTCCTGAGCTGGCTCCAGTCACCTCCCTGCTGCCACAAGTCCCCAGAAGCCAATCCTCCTCCTCTGCCCCTGGGGACCTTGTTCTGCATTGTCCCAGCTCTACTACCCCAGCTCAAGTCTCCACCATTGCAAAAGGAGCCTTTCACCCTGGTTCCTCCTCCAGCTCCTGTCTTACTCCTCCTCTCTTCATAGCCAAATCTCTCTATGGAGCTGTCCAAGCTCACCTCACTGTACACGCTGCCAACTCACTCTTAAAATACTTCACTAACCTGCTCCTGCAAAGGCACCATGGCTCCCCACTGTGGAATCCGTATTTCTCAATGCTCTGCAGCCTTTCTGTCTCCTCCCACCTCTCTGAACTCCTCCGCCTGCTGTCTCCTCCTTCCCTCGCAGCTCCTCCAGGGGATATTCCTCAAACATTGATGACCTCAGATTCTGTCCTCAGCCCACTCATCCCACCCAAGCCTGAGCTGTTCACCCCAAACCCATTCCTCGCCCTGCACCAGCACAGGACTGGACTTCTGGCCCTGTCACTGACACAGAGACCAGGACACCCCCTACCCTATGCCTCTCCCCCAGTTCCTTTCTTAGCAGACAGCTGCTTAATGCCCAGTCACCAGCCTTACCTTGCCTCACTAAGCCCAGTCTCCTTGGATGTACAGGGGGGATTCCTTCAAGGTGTTTGTCTCTGACCAATCCCAGGAGTGCATGATCAGCCAGCAGAGGAGGGTGAGGAAGCCCAGACCTGGCTGCTGAGGAATGGGCTTGGGTTGTTCTTCTTCCCCTCCTCGCCCTGCCCCAATTTCACTGTGGCCAGTAAGGCCCCACACTCACTCAGGCCAACAGGCAGAAATGGGTGGGAAAAGGATCTAGACCCCACACACAGGCCTGGGGCCTAAAGTCTCTCCCTTCAAAGGGGCAACCAGGCCTGGTGGATCTTCTCCAGAGAGGAAGTTTCAGATCCATGGGGAGACAGCTAGTATGTGGAATAAACTCCACTAGGAAAACACACACAAGTGGCTTTACAACATTCCAGTCACGTAAAATGGGCATCCTGACACCATATGTGGCACCATCACCCCCACCACCATCAGCCTGTCATCACCATGTACTGTTGTCCACTACCATCTACCCATCCATCATCATCACCCAATCCCCACCACCATGGCCCAATCACCATACACTTAGCACCAGAGGCCCCCCATCACCTCATTCCTGACACTGCTGCCCTTTGCTGCCACCGCAGTCCCTCCCCACCACCTAGACCAGTATGGACTCTCTGACACTGTGATTTATAATAAAAATAGATATTTGATCATTCAGATGACCAAAACATTTCTCACACATATTTGGTCCTTATCCACAGTCCCTGGCTCACAGCCCCCAAAAGCCTTGGAATTTCCTAAACTTTGAGAGTGATAACAGCATCTTTTGCTATGGTAAGGAAGTGACCTTTGGGAAATAAGAATGGGGTGACTGCCACTGGAACCAATGAAGTGACTAGAGGGTTGGAATGTCCAGTCCCATGATCAGACCTCAGGCGAGGGCAAAGGGACTGGTCATTTGAGTTTGATCACCTTAAATCGATGATTTAATCAATTATGCTTGTGTAATGAGTCTAAAAAAAAAAACCCAACTGGAGGGCCTTCAGAGAGCTTCTGGATTGGTGACTACATGGAGATCTGGGGAGACGGTGCGCCTGCAGAGGGCATGGTGGCACTGGGCCTTTCCCCCAAGCCCCACCCTATGCATCTCTTTTATCTGGCTCTTTTTGAGTTTGCAATAAATGGGTGATGCAGTGAATAAATGTCTTTCCTGAGTTCTGTGAGTAGTTCTAGCAAATTCACCAAACCCAAGAAGGGGGTTATGGGAATCTCTGATTCAGCAGATGCATAGGTAACAGCCTGGAGGCTGCGGCTGATGTATCGAGTGGAAGAAGGTCTTGGGAGACTGAGGCCTTGACCTGTGGAATCCGAAGCTTGCTCTGGGTAGACAGGGTCAGGCCTGAGTTGGATTTTCGCAAACCCTGCTGGTGTCTGAGAATTGCTGGCTGGTATAGGGAAACTCTACACATATCCCTGTTGGAAATTGGCCTCTGGACACCAAAAACTGATTTCTTACCCCAAACCCTCTACCACAGCCACTCTCATTCCAAGCACAATGATATGGACACAACTTTCGAAAAAAGGATCAAGGTGGTCAGACACGGTGAGAGCTTCTCTGGGGCCCCACCTCAATGACTCTGCACCATCCCAGTTCCCTCACCCTAGCCCACCTGCACCCCGCTGTCACCTCTGCTGGGAAGATGCATCAAACATGCAGTTTTACTTACCCTGACATGGGATCGCTATCCATGCCAAACCTCAGCGCTGGGCCCAGCTGTTCTAGCTGCTCCTGTGACTCCATGTCAGCAGCCACTCTGCAAAAAGGAAACCTCACAGTTAACACACCCAAACCCAACCCAGCACACCAGGCATAAGCATTACCTTAGTGTATACAAAGAACGTGCACAAAGCCAGCCCTGTACTGAGCCACGGAGCCAGCCCCGATGACCTCCTGAGAAAGTGTACCACACACACCAGGGATTCTGGATATGATGCCACACTTTCTTCTCAAGGCACATGGGACCATCTCCAGTATAGACCACAAGTGAAGCCAGAAGACCAGCCTCAACAGATTTGAAAAGACAGCTATCATACAAATCATCTCTGACCACAATGAGGAGAAGTTAGAAATCAGGAAGTTCTACAATCAGAAGACTACAATACCACCAAGTTAACAAGAAAGAAAGCTAACATAACCTCACAGTTTGGAAACTAACATGGTGCATGTGCGCGCGCAGACGCGCGCACACACATACACACACGCACACACACAAAACCTGTGTGTTAAATAAGAAATCATAAAGGATATTAAGAAATATATAAAACTGATAATGAAAATACTATAGGTCAAAATTCATGAAACACAGCTAAAACAGTTCCTAGAAACTTCTGTCTTTAATAATAAGATGGCATTAAAATCAAGAAGATGGGGAAATGAATGGAACAAAAAATAAGGGATTAATAAATGCAAGTACAAAAATAAAAGAGACCCCACCACAGAAAATGGAGACATTATCCAAACCAAAACTGGTATACCTCTAGCAAGATTAATCAAGAAAAGGAGAAAAGATATAAAGAAAAAATACAGGACAAAAAGGGAAAAATAACTGTAAGAACAACAGAGATTCTAAAAATAATAACCTTATTTGTATTCTGATTTGAACAAACTTGCCTCTGAAAATGCATTTTTGAGATAAGTGGAGACAACTAAAACTAGATTAGTATTGACAACGACACAGTGAATACCAAGTTGGGACACAGCAGTGGAGTGGCTGGGAAGAAAGAGGCAGAGGTAAAACTGGCATCCAAGGCCCTTTTTCTCCTGGGGCATTATCTAATTTGGGGGGAGGAGTGAACCAGAGAGGCTGAGCAGCTCTTCTGAAAGATGGACAGAGATTAGATGCAGAGCCTACGGGGTGAGGAGACACTGATGACTCCCACTCACTTGGGCTGGGATCTGAAAGGCTGCAGTCCAAGAGAAGGGAATTAAAGGGACAGCCAAGCATCTACTCATATCAATCTCAGCAATTAGGCCAAAGTGATCTTAGAATGCTTAGAACACAAGTTCCAGGGGAAAAGCTATATAAACCCTCCATGGAGGAAGTCCTGAGCTCCAAATTTCTACAATCAATGCTGTAAATGCAATGGTCTGCACACAATTGAAAGCTTTCAGGAACACTAGGATACTAGACAATATAAATAGAAAACAAGGGGCCTCCCTGGTGGTGCAAGGGGTTAGGCATCAACACTATGAAGTTATCCGCAGCATGAGTTCAATCCCTGGTCAGGGAGGTGACACATGGCCCAGACCTCTCCTGTCTCGCCCCCGCTCCCCTCAGCAGTGTGTTTCAGTCCATCTGCCTGTTCTGCTCCCCCACTCTGTCTCTGGTGAATCCTCTCACTCCCCACACCTCTGACCTGTACTCCAGCTCTTGTATGCATAAATAAATAAATCTTTTTAAAAAATAGAAAATGAAAGAAAAATTAACACTGAATTATCCATAGGTTTAGATATTGAAATATCTGATACTGACATTAACAGAACAACATATATAATGTTCAAGGAGATTAAAGAAAAGATTAAGCAATTCAAAACTTGAAATATAAAGAAAAAACAAATAAAACACCTAGAACTAAAAAAAAATAATAAACTAGTAAATTCTTACACTAATTTAACAGAAGATTAGCTACAGCTAGACATAATCGATGAACTGTAGAATAGCTTCTCAAACAAATAAAATAGACTGAAGCTCAGAGACACAAAAAGATAGCAAATATGAAAACAGAAGACAGTAGGTGAAATATGGAATAGAATTTACAAAAGGTCCTATGTGTATAATTACAGTTCTAAAACGATAGGAGGAAAAGAATGGGGGCAGAAACAACCTTCAAAGAGAAAATGACTAAAACATATTCCAAGACTGATGAATAAGAGTAAGCCATGGATTCAAGAAGTGCTTTGAATCCCAAGCAGTAAAAATTTAGAGAAAATCACACCTAGACATACCATAGTAAAACTGCTGAAAACCAAATACAGAGATTAAAATCTTAAAAGCAGTCAGAGAAAAGACATGTTACATGCAATGAGCAATAAAACTCAGTTTATTGCTCAACTGAAATACTAGACATCAGAAGTAAAATGGAATGAAACTATCAAAGTGTTAAAAGAAGTTGAGAACTCTCAACCTAGAAATCTATCACCCGGGAAAATATCCTTTAAGAAGGAAGGGGGAAGTAAAGACATTTTCAGACAAATGAAGCCAAGAAAATATGACACCAGCAGTCCTGCACTAAAGGTAGAAGGAACATAATCTCAGGTGAAGATTGAAGATATAGGAAGCAATAACAGGTAACAGAAAAAGAAAAATAAACAGATTAATATAAATATTCAGTCAAAAACAATCAAAATATTGTCTTTGTAGTTTATAATGTTATTTACATATAATAAAATGAACAACACATCAGAAAGTCAAGACAGTCTTAAACATGTAGACACCTAATAACAAAGCATCCGAGTCCCTGAAGTAAAAACTGACGGAAGTAAAAGAATAAACATACGTAATCTCTCAGTAATCAACAGGACAAGCAGACAAAAAACGGTAAGCAGAGAAAAGATCTAAACACTGTTATCAACTCACTTGGCCTCACTCACACTTATAAAACACTACACTCAACAACTGCAGAGTAATAATTGTTTTCAAGTGCTTATGAAACATTCATTAGCAATGCTGGGGGCTGCCCTGATCCAGACCAGTGCTAATCACCTGCCAGAGCTCAGGAGTGCGATCACCTCAACTCTCTATACCTGCAGCCAAATGCAAAGGAAACACAGAAGTTCCAGGGTTCCAGCCTATGAAATAGTCACAAAATGCAGGACACAGGCATGGCACACAGTGAGGCACATGCCCACATGCTGTGTCCTCTAGGGTCCCCAAGGTGGTACCTGCACAAATTAGATCAACTCTCCCCCCACCCCAGAGGAAGGCACATACTGCTGGGCACTCTCACACCAAGGTGCCCACCCAGAGGACATGCTGGTACCAGTGTGTAGCCAGAAGTGAACCACAGGGAGAGCTGAAGCTACTGACCCCTGAGAAACCTGCTCAGTCCAAGGCCGGGTGAGCTGGAGCCCCTGAGGGTGGGGGAGGGAGGGACGAGGGCTAAGATGAAAAAGGTTTGGGGAATACAGCCCAGAACAGGGCTCCCCGATGCTCCCTGGTCCATGATCCAGCTGCCAGCTTCAGGAGGCCAGGACTCCAGGGCTCCTTCTCTTTCACGCATGCTCCTGCCGGGGGCAGGCTGACACCACCCACCCTCTGACCACAGTGCACTCACCTGGCCTCAGACACAGCACAACTTTCCTCGTTCCACACAAACTTCTTCAGCACGTCAGAGCAGCAGTACTGGTCAGAACAGCTGCCACAGCAGAAATCAGGACAGGACTGAGGGAAGAGGTTTTGTCCACGGGAAGCCACACACACCTCACCATGGGCTGCAGCGGAAAAACACATGTATTCACCTGTGACCACAGGTGAAGCCTCACACTAGGCTTCAGCCATGTCCCTTCCCCAGCACAGCCAACAGGGATGAGAACACTGGGCTGGCTCTGAGCCATCCTCATCAGTGGCCCCCTCAGACCACCACCCCAACCAGCCCTGCCCTCTCCGTGGGCCACAGCAGGGCTCCCTCTCTGCCCACAGGTCTGCATGGGAGAGCGTGTCTGACGGAGAGTGAACTTTCTGAGCAGGTGTATGACTAGGCCACCCATGCCCAGGCCATCACTGGTGCTCACTGCCTCAGGATTAATTAAGTCCAGAGGCTACAAAGCAGGATCCAGACTGCAAAGGACCATGAAGGACACCCCAAATTCCCAGCCCTATCCACACTTTGCCCATATTCTCACCTGTTCCCCATCCTCCATTCTCAAATCTACTCACCCTTCAAGACCTTTTATCAGGCCTTTCCTCCAGTAGCCATGTGAGCCCAGCAGTCACACAGCTGAATAGTAACACTCCACACCAGAAACCGACTGGGCAGTTCTCTGTTGTCATTCTATCTCCCTACCCCTCAGCCTCATCCCCCTGAACACCACAACTTCAGTACGCTGTTCCCTGACCAGTTGCCCACTGACCACAATCTCATCGAGGGTATGTGGATGAGCACCAGCCCTCAGACGGGCCTGCCGCAGGTGCCTAGGGAATGTTTGGCCTCTGGGCCCTGAGGGAATGGCACCATTTGAAGCCCTAAAGCCATCACAAGGCTCTCAGTCAGATTTGGAATCCAAGGACATCCCTGGAGACTGAGAGGAGGACAGAGTTGCAGTATGTACCTTCAAGGTTCTGTTGAAGGTTATGACCCAGGGCTTTGGGTGGCCACAGGTTTACAAACCTACATCCTCAGGCAACTTGAGCAAATCAAATGCCCACCGGCAGAAGGGTAGTTCCAGATTCCGCATGGGCTGACTCCAAATGGAAATGCACAGTCCAGCAAGACCCAGAGGAAGAATTAGACTGGGGCACAGTCTGGTGTTTTTCCCTGAGTGAGGCTTCATCACCTGGAAACAGGCCTGGCACAGCATGAGGAGACCCAGCCTGGCCAGGCCCCTGGGGAGTGTGCAGTATCTGGAGACCCAGCCTAGTCAGTATATCATGCACCCTGGGGCCATCAAAAGAACAGGCCCAAAGACAGGTATTCAGTGGCCTCCTTAAGAAGAGTTAATTAGGGAGGGGGTGGGTATTGCTTTGTTTTGGCAACCTGGTCTGGGCAAAACGGTGGGGCAGAGGATCAGACCAACAGGCCCAGCCCAGATAGCCCTCCTGAGAGCAGGTAGGGTCAGTATGAACCACGCTACTGAGTAGCTCAAGTGACCCCACTTCCAGCAGGATCTTTACAGCCTCCATCACCTGACTGGAGCCTCTAAGCTGAAGCTGAAGACACACACCTGTGAATGTTTGGGTCAAGAGTTCAGGTGACTAAACTGAGTCCTGCAAACTCCAGACCAGGCTGCACTGAACTTCCCAGGGTTCAACTTCCTGCTTCTGTACCCCAGGTCTTCCAAATTCAGACCAGCCCCCAGGAAATAAAGCCCTTCCCCTTTGAGGAGCCACCCATTCCTGGGGGGGTATTTGGCTTCCCATGCTGGAGTGGGGGGCTGTTCCAATTCCTACCCTAAAAAGGACCCCAGCCTGGCCTGCTCCTTTGGTGAAATATCTACAGTCAACACACACTGGTGCCTCCCCCAAACCGGGAGGCCAACCTCAGCCCTCTCCAGAACACAAAAGCTGGGGGCTGCGGGTGGAGGCTCCCAGGCAATAAACAGGGGTCAAGGGAAGGGATCTTCTGGAAGGGCCAGGCCTCCCTGCTGCCACCACTCAGAGGGAAGGTCAGGAAGGGAATCCTACCCTCTGGGGACACAATCCCTCGGTTCACCAGCGCGCAGACTTCCTCCCTCCCAAACCCCCCCATCCACGGAAGAACAATGGTGGCAGCTGCCAGGGGACTGCGCAGTGTCAGTTTAGACGGGAAGGGTTCTGGGGTGAGAAGAGGTCAGCACTCCCGAATTCGCGGGGATCTGGGGGGTTAGGGCGTCTGGGGGGAGGAGGCACTGTGGGAACGCGAGCGAGCGGCGCTGCCTCAGCTCCTTCCAGGGACAGCGCGGACGTGGCTGCCCCTCGTCTCCGGCGCAGCCAAGCGCCCCCACCCGCCAAGGCTCACCACCCGGGGGCGGCGGTAGCAGCAGCAGCAGCAAGAGGATCCGTGGCACGGGGGCCGGCGCAGCCATGGCTGGGACAACAGACAGACGGACCGAGGCACCCGGGTCCCAGGGTCGGGGCAGCTGCAGTCTCCGACCCGCGCGGCCCGGCGCGTCCTTGCCCCGCCCCGGCGGTTCCCGGAACCCCGCGGGGGGAGAGGGGCGGAGGGCGAGGCCCGCGGGGGCGGGGAGGCGGACGCCCCTCCCAACCTCCCGGTGGGGCTCACGTCCGGTGCCCGCGAAAGCTCCCTTTCCCCGGTGCCCGGGACGCGCCGAGTGGCCTTCTGCTTTGGGCATAGCTTTTGCTCCCGCCTCCAGCCCCCAGCGCCCACGCGGGAGGGGGGTCTCCGCGGGTACCCTCGTCCTAACACACCTGAGCGCCCCAGCCGGCCCCTCCCCGCCGTCGGGCCTCTCTCCCTGAGAACCACCCGAGGACCTGACCTGGTGGCCCCGCGTGGTGCCCAGAGCAGCACAGTGTGGTGCCCAACACATGCTGATTCCCCACTGGAAGCTTGGTCTGGAGGCTTCCTGGGACTCCGGCTCTGAGGACACTCCTTGGCCCCACCAGCTAGGGTACACTCCTCTCCCCACGTTATCTTGCCTGGTGTGAGGGTGGGGACAGAGCGCACCTGGCATGCACCAAGCCACCTTCCAGCTCAGGGGAGCGCGGACTGATGGCCATCTTTGTCTGCTGCAGGGACAGGTGCTCTGACAAGGTCCCCTGAGATGGGCAACTCTAACAGGCCCCCACTGCCCCCTCACTGTGGCCAGGGGTCTCCAGCAGAGCCAGAGAAAGGGAGCTGGAGTAGTGGCTATGACAAGAAGACATCAGAGATGGGGTGCTTTGTAAACAATAGACATTTATTCCTCACCATTTTATAGACTGGGAGGTCCAAGATTATGGTACCAACATCTGGGCCTGATGAGAGCCCACTTCCTAGTTCATAAATGACAACCATTTCTTTCCTGTGTTGGAAGGGACAGGTAGCTCTCTGGTTCTCTTTTATAAGGGCACTGATCCCATTCATGAGGGCTCCATCCTCATGATCTAACCCCCTCCCAAAGGCACCACCTCCTGATACCATCACCTACAGTTAGTCTGTGGAACTTTTTTTGTACAGGTTTCTAACCTGCCACCCACCATGCTTTGGCACGTTCAGTACAATACTGAAGGCAGAAAACATGAAATGTCACTAACCAGTCACCTGTGCCAGTGTGCACACATGTACCACCACATATTTATCACCTGAGCAGGCTCATAGCTGTGAACAAGTGCAATTCCCAGGTTAAGGTGTGCGAATAGGGAGAGGAGGGCCTCGGCACCCCCTCAATCCCCTATCACCAATGTGACTGGGAAGTGAGTAAGACTCAGAATGCTGTACACAGGTGGGGTGGGCAGAGGTGTGACTGTCCCTTGGCAGGGTGAGGGACCCCCCCCTGCCACAGCCCAACCTCCCCAGGCCCCCTCACCTGCTCATATCTCACAGAAAACTGGGTGAAACCTTCATGGGGGACCTGTGCTCAGGCAGGAGGGGAGGAAGGCCAGGAACACCCAAAGGCTTGGAAATTGCAGCTTTGCCTCTGACAGGTGTATGTGGGGTGGGAGATGGGGGCTTTCCTTGTAGACCAGGTCTGTGAAGCAGGAAACAGCCACTTCTGCTAATTATCTGGGGAAATCAGCCCCTCCCAGGCAGAAACCAAATACCGTATGCCAAATATGGGAGTCTCAGCGAGACTGAGGGCGCTCAAACCTTGTAAAGATACACAATACTGGGGCCTCTCCAGTGGCGCAGCGGTTGAGCGTTGGCCTGGTAGCTGCCCACAGCCTCTGCAGCGCCGGTTCGATCCCCGGCCACCAGGCAAGGGTCCCACATGGCGCGCAGACCTCTCCTGCCGCCCGCTGCTCCCCTCAGCAGTGTACTTTGTCATTCTGCCTTGTTCTGTTCCCCGCTCTGGCTCTGGTGAATTCCTTCACCCTCCCATGCTTCTGACTGTACCCAGTGCTTGTATGTATAAGTAAATAAATAAATCTTTTTTTTTAAAAAAAAAGAAAGATACACAATACTGAAGGGAAAGACCAAGATCAGGAGACAGCTACAGGGAGATAGAGAAGCAGGGGCCCAAGGGAGATGGTGGTGCCATCCGGAGTGCAGCGACAGACCAAGGCCAGTAAACAGCAAGTCCAAAGAAACAAAAATGTGGACCTCCCTGGTGCCGCAAGGGGTTAAGTCTCAGCACTATGAAGCTATCTCGGCCACTACAGCACAAGTTCAATCCCCGGCCAGGGGGACCTCTCCTGCCTCGCCTGCTGCTCCCCTCAGCAGTGTACTTCAGTCAGTCTGCCTGTTCTGCTCCCCACTCTGTCTCTGGTGAATCCTCCCACCCCCACACCTCTGGCCTACACCCCAGTTCTTCTATGCCAAAAAAAGCAGCCCCCTAAATTCCACCGGTGGCAATCATTCGAATTCTCTCATTAGCAACAAGAGCTTTGCTTTGCTGCTTTTGCTTCAGATCAAGATTTGCTTTGCTTTGCTTTAAATAAACTTTTGCTGTGCATACTCCTTCCTGCTTTCAAAGCGGCAGCTGGCTTCCCAGACTGCAGCCAAGAACTCGTGGGTGAAGTGACAAGTGGTTGCCCATTTCAATGTGAGGACCCAAACCATCTGGACTAGCTCAGAAATAAAATGTCAGGCCATCGGGGTAGGATGGAGGGGCCAGGCAACCATGTACTGTTGTTACAAGGAACCCAGCCTCCTCAGACAGCTTATATCCTCAGTCTTCTCTCCACCCACTTCCATTCCTGCAGATGCCAGCCCTCCTGCTTAGAGGCATAAATTCTGTCCCTTCCCCATCTGTCCTTCCTGAGATGGCTCAAGCCTCATCTTAGGGCACAGCCCCCTGCACTTCCTGTCCCCTATCTGAGTCCTTTGTCACCTCAAGGTCCTTCCCTATAACAGGGTGGTCCCTAGGGAAAGAGGAAATTCCAGGTTCCCAGGCCCATTCAAGGAATGGTGAAGCTGAACAGGGAGAAATAGCTGGAGAGGAGATTGAGAAGAAAGAAAGAGAATGGAGAGTCAGAGGACTCCTGGAGGAGGCACATGGAGCACAGGGACATGTGAAGAAGCCACTCTTGCTTCTCGGTCCTGTACTGGTTGAAACATGTGGGTGAGGGCCTCCCTAGTGGCGCAAGGGGTTAAACATAGCACTGTGAAGCTGTCTGCAGCCTCTACAGCACAAATTTGATCCCTGGCCAGCCAGGGACCTAACCCACATGGTGCAGCAGACCTCTCCTGTCTCGCCCGCTGCTCCCCTCAGCAGTGTATTTCAGCCAGTCTGCCTGTTCTGTTCCCCACTCTGTCTCTGGCAAATCCTCTCACCCCCAGCACCTCTGGCCTGTACCCCAGCTCTTGTATGCATAAATAAATAAATCTTAAAAAAAAAGAAGATACATGTGGGTGAGAGACCATTGGAGAGGTTAACAATGGCAGTGTTTATCTTGACTTTGCTCCTTTTGTCCCGTATGTGCTGGGTCTCTTCTGCCCCTTTCCTATATAGGTCCCCACTGGAAGGTACCTTAGACTTGTGGCATGTTTTCAGGACTTAGTGGTCCTGTTTTGGATCAACCCTGTTTGGCTGGGCATTTACCCACAAGGACATGGGTAACTTTGGGTACTGGATTTGCAAACTATATTCTTTTTTTTTTTTTTTTTCTTTCAGGTTAAGCTCTATGTTTGCAGAAGACACTGCTAAAAATTCAAGTATGTTACCTAAGACGAGTAAATCATTCAGCTGTATCACAAATGTGGTTAATAGATGAACTAGCGATTTACCCAGCAAATCCCTTAGTGAAAAGGAATGCAGGTTTTTTTTTTCCCTCTCCTTTAATAATTTCCCCCCTGAGTATCAAGTGAATTCATGTTTGTTCCAAAAATAATTTGATAAAGTCAGTAAAATTCAAGGCACAATCAAAAACCAGCTAAAATCCCCGAGTTAAACTCTCTCAAATCACTGCTATTAGTATTTTAGAGTATGTTTTTCCCAATTTATGAATATGCGTCTGTGTATATGTATATGTTATATGATACACATTTATTTTTCAAAAGTAAAATCACCCTATATATATAGTTGTATTGCCTGCTTTTGCTGTGATGTTTTTTATTTTCTTCTATGACATCTTTTTTTAATAATAAATTTTATTTTTATATTCCCCATACAATTGCACCCCCCCCTTTCTGACCCCAATCCCTCCCCTCCTGCCCCCCACCCACCAAAGAGTGTCTCTGGTTCATAGGCAAACTATATTCTTTGTCTTTTCTTTGTTGCTCAATAATTGTAGTAAAGTTCCTTTCCAGGGCCTTCCTTCCTGGTGCTGCAAGGGGTTAAGTCTCAGCACTATGAAGCAATCCACAGTCACTGCAGCACAAGTTTGATTTGGCCAGGAGATATCCACACTGCACCGCAGCCCTCTCCTTTCTCACCTGCTGCTCCCCTCAACAGTGTATTTCAGCCAGTCTGCCTGTTCTGTTCCCCACTGTCTCTGGTGAATCCTCTCACCCCCTACACCTCTGGCCTATACCCCAGTTCTTGTATGCATAAATAAATAAATCTTAAAAAAAAAAAAGAAAGAAAGAAAGGGAAACTGACCGAATTGCCACAGGCTCCTGGCCATAGTCCACATGACCAATAGGGGGCAAGTGCAGGGTATAAGAAGACTTGTTTTCTACTGGTCAGCGTGACTCAGTTGTTCTTTTGCCAGGGAAAGTTGTTTTTCCCACGTGGCCATTGTGTTGGTGCTGTTTAGGTGGGAGATGGAAGGGGTGGCCAAAGTCATCATGGTATCATGATGTTCCACATATTGTCAATTCATCTGTCAACAGCAACTCCACAGGAGTAAGGTTAGTGCTGGAAGTTTTCTTGGAGGCCATTTTAGGAGAGTTAATAGGTTAGCAATTGGAGAAACCTAACTATGTGTTCTGCAGGTTACAACAATGGCTGGTTCTGGCATTGTTTTGTGCTTTCAAAAAGACTGGCTTTACCCACGGGCATCAGATTTTGCATAGCTGTTTCATGTTTGTCCTTTGTCTGCCAGAGCAGGGAGGGGCCGTTTTCCCAGCACA